ATATATATATATATATATATATATATATATATATATCAGTGTGCACTAGCACTCTGTATGGAGGAATCCAATGAAAAAAAATAGGTTGCCACTAGTGCAATACCACATAACTCAGCTGAAATTTCTACTCCAACAGCCACCATAAGTCTGAAATGAAAAGCTGTTTAAGTTAAACCACTTCCTACTTTGACTAGTGACCTTTGAACTTTGACCCATAAGATGCTTATGTGGCCAATGACTGTCAATTAATTAACCACGTGAAACAGTGTAGAAGGACATTAAGAGTTGGGTGTTGAAAGTGGGTAACAGAAGGCTACTCTACTGCCACTATCTCTTCCTACAAAGCTACCCTAACCATCACACAATGTATATACATATTGAGCTCTTAAAACTTACACAAAACTTTTGTTGAGGTAATAATAGATACTGCAGTAATATGTTATTTATCACAGCACATTTTTATAAATTCATAACCTGGACAAAGAATGGGTACCTCAGCTTGTATAGTATAGATTGTGATTATGTTTCACATGAGTATTATCAAATATTTTTCGCTATATTACATACTTGCCTGCCTCAAACAATCTGTTATTTTCAAAGTCTTTGCTACTTCAAATTCTAGTTTCAGCAAAGTTACTGTTTGTAGCGTGATGTGTTTTTATATTAATGATAAATATGTAGCCACATATTTAATATTCCTTTGGTGAATAACATGCAAGACTTGAGAATTATTTCTGTGTTTGATGCACTAACTATAGTGATATCTCAGCAAATGGAAGAGATAAGAGGCTCTTGTAATGTATTCTAGCTTGTCAATATCAGTAATTTGAATTTTATTGGTAAGAAACTATAGACTTAGTATTTTGACTTCATAAACACCTAATTTGAACAAGTGATGCATTCAACATACCACATGACACACAAAAATTAATGTTTATTGGTGTTTTTTAATATTCACTTTTCAATTAAGAAATTGAGTAATGTATAATAGTAAAATTTGAATTGTAATCTAAAATTTTATACCAGACTTACTTGCATAAATTCATGAAATAGTAGTTCAATGCAATTTTGTATGCGAGTCAACAAAGGAGGTGACATGGACTTTCATCCGTGATCTGTATCGAAAGGGTTAACCAGCAACATCTCAATGATACAATTGTATAAATGGTAATGTGAGACTATCTTTTGATAAGTCCAATATACAATACAATTTTAAGTTGTGTAAATAAACAAAAAATTATGCTTACATTGCTACCTTATTAGAATGCACCATTATTAGTCAATTCATATTAGTTTTAAACTTGAAATTTAGGATTATTATTATTTCATTTAAAACAATTTTTTGGCACATGTGTAGTGTTCAATGTTAGAAATTCACAATTTTAAAAAAACAATGATTATTTTATAAACAATTCTATAAAATTACTTAGATACAATAACTTACTATACAGGATAAAAAGTGGTAAAAAGACCCGATGAGACTGGAAAACAATCTCATACACTCTACATGTTTCGACATATATTACTGCGTCATCCTCATGAGCGTAATGTTTTGCAAAAATAACATTTATACATTTATCAAATCATGTAAATTATATTAAAGAATTTCTCTATTGAGATAATTAAATGTATAAAAAATAAAGTTAAACTATTGAATAAGGATGATGGACCTGATGTAAATGTATTCAGCAGATGGCGTGAAATTCTTTAATATGTAAATTGGTGATTTGATAATTGTATGAATAAGTATAATTTTTGCAGAACAAAGAAAGACTTTGAAAAAACAATCTCTGATTTGATATTTATATACAGGATCTCGTTGATGATATCAAAGCAGAAACAAGAACAAACATTGATGAGCTGATGTCTAAAGGAAGTGCACTGAGAGAAGCTAAATGCTTGGTATACAAATAACTTTGCCAGATATTAAAAAGTATTTAAAGAAGAATATCTAAAGATTAACATTTTATTGGCAAATCAGTTATACACACCAAACAAAGATTAATAGATGAAGGTGAATATGATGAGTTGGAAACTGTGCAAGCATCTGTGAAAAACAAAACATTTGCTGGAGCAAAAAGTTGATTCACCATGATGCATTCATTTTGAAATAAATAAAATATGAATACAAATGCTCATAAAAAAAACAACTAGATTAAATGTCTGTATGCCATCAGTAACTCGTCAAGAAACACTAAATGACCTGTAGAATGTAATTATGTACAGGCTTATTATAATAATAAACATTAATAAAAAGATAAATGTTTTTTGTGGGGTTGTGGGTTGTAAATGTCCCTGGCACTAGAAAAAGCCTTGTGAATTTTGGGCCTGTTATTTCTGACACATGCTAGATCCCTGTAAATTCCACTATGTGGTTTAATTCTTTTTCCTCTATCCTTTTGTGACCACCATCTACTCAAAGTACCTCTGCATTTGAACTCGTGTTAAACAAAACAAACAAACAAACAAAAAAGAAAAGCTGGATGACTGAAGCATAGTGCCTATATATGGTGATATGGGTTTTAACTAAATTTATCTAACCATCGCAGAGGGATATTTCCACAAAGTTAAGTAAAACTCATGAGATGATACATCTCTGTAGATACTATAGAGCCAGAGGGTGCATAATTAATACATAAAGAAGTAAGTAATCATTTCCAGAAGAGCAACATGTTTGCATTTGTTTCATCTTCTGAGGGTAATTATGAAATATTTAATTAGCCGTTAACATTTGCCTCAAGATATTTGAGATGTTATTGATAAAGTCATAAATCATCAGATGAGGATAGTAATGAAATATGAATATTAAAGAATATGACATCATCCATTATAGCTAAATCTACTGTGTGCTACCATCTTGGCAAATGTAACTTAAGCTAATATGGCTGTTCCTGCCATTTGGCTCAGACATCTGCCATGCATCCTGCACCCAGTGGGCAGTATACCCGCCACTTGAATTTCACCTATACACCTGCTATAATTAATGTTTGGCTACACTAGGTGTATATTTTCTGTTTTATTGTTTTTGTGTTCAATTTTCATCAATTATTGTTGTAGTAAGAAAACATAGTTGCTCACTCTATGTGTAGAAAACATGATTTAGTATTATACTTTTTATTGATTACTGTTGCAATAAAATACATACTAGATCACATGCATGTAGCTAATAAATCCAAGCTAAGATCGATTAAGAACTACAATTTTGAAAATTACTAGCTCTTATCACCTCAGTTATGTCAGTGATAGAGAATGTGACCTGATGAAATTTTGTGTACTTTCTGGTTTGCGAATCAGTTTGTTCTCATATTTTGTTACTTATCCACACACTTTTGTTTTATGTCACTAGCTATAATTAGCTGTAGTTGTTTTTGAAACTTCTAATGGGAAAAGCTGTAGTAAGAAATAATATCCTTCACTATGTAGTGAAACCAGTATTATGAGCAGCTCATAACTGTAGTTACAAAGAGAGTTAATTCCAGTTTCTCTATTTATGTAGATGACAGAAGTATATGTTAGGATAATGTTATCTGTTGAAAGAAAATGAATGTATGTTTCTAATATTATAAAATATAATTTACTAAACAAGTCTCAGATGATTAAGGACTGTTTATTTTAGTTGAATGGTTAAGGAACTGTGTAAATTATTAATAATTTAATTTTGGTATCATTAGTGTCAAGACACGCTGGTGCAGTTTGGACTGTTCCTTGCCAATAGCTTGAGCATGGAAGATTATGCCAGCCGGCTCCCACCAGTCCACAGCTTATTGTCTGATTATTCCATTCAAGCTGACATAGCTTTCTTCTTGGCCCGCCCCATGTTGAACTACGCAATCAGTGTAAGTTACATATTACTGTAGACTTGGAGTTTATTTTGTTGCTTCAAGTGCAAAATTGTTCAACACTCTATTTCTTTATAATAGGCAAAGTTTGAGGAGAAGAAAAAGCAAGACAAAAGTCTGAAAAATGCTCCTTCTTCCCAAAAAGTGAGTAATTTTTCTTAGAGTTAAGGTATAAGCAACTTTTTTTCAAAAGAGGTTGAACAGCAAATTATTAAACATACAATTCAGAGATTTATACATTGGATTAACATAGATTCCTAGTTCCTAGTTTTCTTAATATACAAACTTTTCATTCCAGAGGCACTGCATATAATCTTCCAGTAGTCACAGCTCTTTTTGTAATGTGTATATATATCTAACAGTACTGTCTGTTGTTTATCCATGTAACTACTTCACAGGGTGTAGATGGATCTTCACCAAAGTTGGTATGGAGGTCCATCACGTCCATGCAGGGGTACATAAAAATTTTTAGTTTTGCATTTTTTACCACTACTTTGCCCCCTGTTGACGGATCTTCACCAAATTTGGTATGGAGGTTCATTGGGTCCATGGGTTTAATACATACATATTTTCAGTTTTGCATTTTGTGGTTTTATGGGTATTTTTGTGTTTTTTACAATTACATACAAGAGAAGCAACTTTCCATGTCCTAAGATAACTTCATTAATCATGAATTTACATAACTTCCATCGAGGAGATGGGTACTCCAGCTAGTAAGAAATATTTTACCAATGTTCAGTGAACGACAAAGCCTGAAAATTACACATAATTTATCTTTATTTTATGTCAGAGAGCATCTAACAGTATGAGAATTACTGGTCTTCCACAAACCTTTTTTAAATGGTGCAAGTTAGACAACTTGAAAATACATATATGTTACATCAAAGTTAAAAATAATTTTCTACCATCTATAACAGCAATTCTCAAACTTTGTTGTTTGAAGAATGTTTTTTCCCACATCAATGGACTGCAGTATGTATATATATATATACATACGTATGTATGTATGTATAAAAGATGAATTCACTATGCCATGCTTCAAACATTCCTTTATATGGGAAGAAAGGCAACAAACTGTGAATTCCATGTAACATTGTCCACAATGTAGATAAACAGATTCATACACAATATGAGAGTATTGAGATAGAAAAAGTCTTGCTGTTGAAATGAAATTAAGTATAAACAAATTATACTTAAAAGTTGCAGTTTAACTTTTTTCATCTTATAGGGTCAGTCAGTGTGACCGATTTTGTAACCTCAAAGTAATATCAGTTTCCATACTTTAACTTTTAATATGTATTATACATTTTTAAGAAATTTGGCAAGCTTTCTGTAAACATTACAAGTCTTTACTACAGTTTTGTCTGTGAATATGTGAAGTCAGAGTGTTGGCTGCTTCAAGTACAAAGTGATTTTTATGTTAAGATTAACAATACTTTTCTTCATCTGAAAACTTTCATATTTCCTTTCCATAACCTCTAAGACCTCCTAAATTAATATCATACCTTTTTCTAGTAAAACTATATCTGTTACTTTCTGTACCCTAACTCTATGTTGACTTAGTTAATTTGACCAACCTTTAAACAAGCAAAAGAAACAGGAAATAAATCTAAACAAATCTTTTTTCTGTTTAGAATGATTGCAGATTGTAACAGAAAACTACAATTGTTTATCCTAAATAGCTTAAGGCTCATAACAGTCTTATCAGTTTGTATTTAATTGTATTATTTTATTGTCCTTTTGAACCATGTATAACTAATAATTGCACCAAACAAGTTGTAAATCATTCAGTGAACACATTATTCATGTTATTGTACTGAATGATGTAATTCACAAGCTGCTTATTAGCATACCCCATGAAGAATTTTTAGCATTTTTTTCATTATTATACCTTATCTAATCTAATAAGTCTAATTTTTACATTTTAATTACTTTTATAACAATAAGTAAAGAATATGTATGAAAAACAAGAAATATAGTACTTACATTTAACCTCTTGTTTATTGTCTGTAGGTTGCTGATGAGATTTAAGCTTACTTTTTTATACTAATGGTACTAGTACATTAAATAGTTTTTATTCACATGACCCTATAATGCCAGTATGGTTAGTTTAGTATAGAGAATTAACTTGTATGAGGTCATAGTGACCATGTCCTATAACTATCATAATTTAACTGGCTTTTCAATTATGGCATAAGAGTCTTAAAATAATTCTCAAGCTTGTTCATCTGAAAACTGTCAGAGAAATTTTCAAATTGAAGACAAAATTGACAGTACTTTGTATAGTAATATGTCATTTGATAGATTAAAACTTTTAGTTTCTATTGGTTATAAATAATATTGTCTGAAGCATTAAAAAAACTATTGGCAATTTGTGAAAAAGAGTATGCGATAGGTGCACATGGCAAGTGGGTCTGATTTTGTAGTTTATGACTGCAAACAAATAAGATTGAAGAATATAGAAATTAGACTTTATCTTAGTAATATATTGTTATAAGTAATTTACATTAAATTTCATACTTGAGGGAGGGGTGGTAAATAAATTAAAGAAGGGAGAAGACCTAGAAAACAAATATTACGATTCTCATACTAGGGGAGATTGAGGATTTGTAAAAATATTTTCTTATAAAATTAAGAACTTAAAACCTATATAATATTAAAACTTGATTTATTAGCTGTGCTTTGATTCCAAGTTTATTCATATACATTGATAATAAAATAGTGTAATTGAATTGTGAATGTAATTCAAAAAGGTCACGACATGCACACTTTGACCTACCCATAAAGAAAGGGTTAAACATCGAAAGCTGATGAAGTGTTGTAAATCAATAAGCCTAAGATTTGTGATAAAAATTATGTTAACTTAGTATTTTTTTTTTAAATCAGCAGTGTGTAAAAATAGCATTTCAGGTCTGTCTTTTTTTATCTCACAGGTTACTGCTCAGGGGGCCTTTTGTTCAAAACCATAACTTGTCAGTTGGGTTAAACAATGAGAAACAAAAGATCTTCGGAAACACCATATGCAGTGTAATACTTTAAAAGCTTCAGGAATTCACAGACAGATCTTTAGTAATAACAATCTATTAAAAAATCTGAATTTTTATGTACAAGGGGCTTTAAATGTTTACTTAACATCTTGTTAGTAAATTCAGAGTTATAGTAAAATTTACTATTCCTAGCTTCACTTATCCAGGGTCAGTCAATGTGATTGAGCTTGTTAACAGATAATTTACTGAAAGAAGTAAGTACCAGTTAATGAAAAACAAGAACAATGGGTTGCATGGAACATCATTTTGAATGTTTGTTCCCATAACAAGCTTATTTACCATTGTTGATAAAAGAAATTGAAGGGTTATTTTTTGACAAAAATATTTTCAATTATAAAGTTTATGGAAATTATGATAATCACTTAAAGTCCTTAGAAAATTGCAAGTTTTTCTTAAAGCTGCAAGATACAGAGCCTGTTGAAAATAAAATAAACCCAGTGAAGAAAACAGAAGAGAAATTAGCTAATTTTTTTATTTAACCTTTAACTACTATTGGCAGTATACTGGCCACCCCTGACCTTGCATTAATAAAAATTAACAACTCATAAAATTCAACATATTTAAGATACAGACACTTCAAACATATGGCATGATAACCATGAAACCTCTTAAAATATAAATGATGTTTATAGTAAATTTATGGTTTACAATATAATAAAAAAATCACTACATACCATAGCTGTTTATTGTATTGTTGTGCATGACCCTCTTAACCATTGACCTGAAAACTAGTTTTCGTACACATAGTAGTCTCGAGTACATCATGTGTTTGGCCGTATCATTCAAAGATATGTTAGGATAATTCTTCTAAAGCATTAAAACTAATATAAAAAGTTAGAATTTGTCTTACTCAATTTTTTATGTAAAACTATCTATTTTCTCATTTTACCAGTCATGTGCATTTGCTCCAGAAAGACAGTTGCATGTGTCTGTCTCCACCTTTAACTAAGGGACTTCATATGAAGCTTTTGTCTCAGGTTATAATAGCTGGAGCTCTTGTGTACAGAAATGAAATGCCAGAGAAAGTTCCACCATTTTAATAATATTTACAAAAGGAAAAAAATTTTAAGTTAGGGATAGTAGGTTTGATTTTTTAAAATTGCTTTATCAAAATAAATTTTAATAAAATTTACGTTTCAGTTATAATTTTATTTTGAATGTATTTTGGGAGAGAGATCACACAGAATTTTTCAAAATTTGATGTCTTCAGTTTTCTCCTGTTAAAATGTGAGATATACCAGGCTGAAAAGGGTTAAGTTTAAAAATGTTATACAGTAATCTTTTGGTTCTTCAACAGTGAACTTCGTAATAAGATGCTAACTTGTAAGTGAATTAAGAAAAGAAATATAGCAGTTTGTTTAGATTACTCACAACTAATAATCTGAAAAATAGAAATTTATAAATAAAGGAATACTGAACACCAGCCCTCTGTTATTAAAGAATTATCGATTTCTTTAGCTTTTTTATTATAATATAAAGAACCATAAATATTTCTTTGACAGGTTCAGAAATATGTAGAAGCTGTTGAAGAAGTAGTATGTCCCACTGTTGAATCTGTGAGGCCATTGTATCCCAGTAAAACTTGGGATGACATCAGGTCAGTAAATGCTCTGCTTTAGGTAACTGGACTTTACATAAAAGATACTAGAAAAACTAAGCTTACTAATTATTATATATTTATATTCATTATAAATTACAGTTTCAATCCTTTTTCATGGTTTGATGCCTCTATCTGCAACCTTATAGACATAAAGTCTACTCATGTGGTAAATATCCTATATTGATATGTTACATGTGTCCTCAGTACTATTTCAAATATCTTTTATATTCATGAACGGTATGTTTGTTTCATCTTTTATTCTTTTTTTATAACTAATTACTTCCCAACTTTAGCATGTGTTTAAATGCAAATATTTCAATTAATCTTTAATAAAATTACTTCAACCTTTAAGTAATATTTAATATTTGAATAAGATCACTTCTAAAGTTAATTTGCATTAACTATTCTAATTTCTAACCTAAATTCAGTGAGACAGACTCTTCTAGGTTTTGAGAGGTGTGCGTAAATGTGGTTTATTTTTCAAGGAGTATGGCCTGCAGTTGCTTCACACGTCTTTGCAGCAGACAAATATGATGTACTATATACAGTGACAGAAATTGCTTTTGTTATTTTCAAACCAGTTTTAACTAATATGAGTGCAAAGAGTTGTTACATTACTTTCTTAGGAGAGCCCTTGCTCATCAGGGTAGAAACACAATATCATGTTCAGCAATAACTTCGGTTCTCAACATGAATCCTGCCATAAAAATGTTTCTCACATACACCATTACATTGTGTTTAGCCATTGAATTGTTAGAATAACACAAGAAGGAACAAGTACATATATTTAATTCATCAATGCTCACCCTACCAATCAACATTTGCAGTTATTTCAAAAAATTTAGAATAAAAGAAATACAATTTATTTTTGAAAAACAATATTTTACAAAATCTATCATGACACCTTGATTGTGGTATTTTATTAATCCACTGCTATCATTGCAGTTTTTATCGTAAATAATATTGGCCACTATAAATGTGACAAACGCATCATTAAACTGCTTTAAATTCCATCCATAATACTTTAAACTTTTATTTGTGTTAGTTCTCCTTAATTATATCTAATTATTCGAATAATTGCACTTTAATGCTACTGACTGTCCATTCAGATAATCAACTAAGATTGTTATATCAAACTAGTTAGTGTAACTCACCAAATAAAATCTACATTTTATAAAAATAATGTTCCATGGTCAGAAAGCATATTTGTTTATCTATAAACAGTAAAGGAAGTTTCCATAAACACCAAAGACAGCTTATCACACCCTTTGTTTAACTACTGATATCTTCTTTATATTATTAAAATTGAGAGGCAAGCTTTTGAAATGAAATTGGATTGTAAGAAGTTGAACAAAGGTACACTTTTTTATTATTTTATTTCAAACTCAAATTACAACTGGCTTTATATCTTCTATTAATAAAATGTACTTCAAATAGCCTGCATAAATATTTAATTTAGTTAATGGAATTAATAAGATCACATTGTTTGCCATCTATAAAAATGAGCAATGAAACTAAAAATTGAAATGAACTTAGACTTGATATACTTTACAGAAAAGCAGTAAACAATTATTTTGATGTATACTTTCTTTAACTCTAAATTATTTTGTTTGCTCTGTTTTTGAATTATGTACTAGGTTTGGCTATTAAATTTTTGCCCAAAAGTCTTTGACTGTAGATTAAAAATTGCCAAGGTGAGCATTGTTTAGTTTCAACATAAATTGGATGAAACATGACTTACCAAAGCAAATTATATGCTTCCATTCATTGTCCTCAGCTTATGACTTATAGACAATGATATTGTACTTTCTTCTTTGCATCTGAGGCAAGCAGTTTGTAATTCATTGTGAGCTTTCATATATACATATGTGACTGTATTTTACAAAATACTAGTCAAGTAAAACACAGCCAAGACAAGTTACGTTGTACAGACTAAAGGTCACCTTTATATTATTTGATATGGTAACGTGAGTGCATGTGAGCCGTGTCATTGTAACTTCTGTATTGTTAGCTAGGCATGGGTGAGAGGTCAATATAAAAAATATATATATATATAAATGTATAATCTTATGACATTTAAGCTATTTTGTCAAAACATTTATGTTTTTGTGTTATAATTTGTGTTCATTCTAGAATGAAAGATGCATAACATAAATATTTCCTAATTTTTTATGGTGGTTGCAAGATCAGTCAAATTTACCGAACCCATACAGAGATTAATTACTGAAATTAACAGATAAAATATAAAGTTTTTTTCTTAAGAAACATTTGATAACTATTTGGACATTATAAAGATTTTACATGTGAAATTTCGAAATTTTCAGATGCACAAAAAAATTTTTAATATCAAAATGAAAATTAGATAGGCAACATCTGAAAAGAAAACAAAGACATGAGAAAAACATTGCTTTATAAACCTTAAGACTTAATAAAAAAAATTAGATATTTTACATATGAGAGCATTGTAATGTTTACTGATTAACTACCAAATTTCATTAACGTTTGCTTACTAATTTAAAAGTTATAGTATGAAAATTATAAAAAAGCACAAAATGGTTACGAGGTTGGACCATGGACCGACCCCAGGTTGAAATAGTTAAGCAGAGAATAATAGTGGAATATAAAGGAAAGTTTAGAATTTTTGCAAAAAAAAACCACAAATCTTGTAACTTATTGTTATATTTTATTATAGAAAATCTTATTGTGTTAAATTGTATTTGAAAGTTTTGAAATTTGTTCCATGACAAGACAACGGAAGTTTAATGATGATCAACAAAACAATGGTAGCAACAACGAACATTTGATACATGTATGTACAGTAACAAACATTTAATTCTTGAATGTTTTGGATGGAATATGTATATGTTACTATACACACACATGTCAAAAACTTTATTAAATTTAGAAGTGGTGACTACTGCAACCAGAAAAATGAAGTATCTAATAATTATGCAAATGATTATCAATCAAGTTGAATCTCATTGGATGTATAAAATGGAAATTTCTGGTTAAGAATAAAAGAATTGAAATTTCTAAGAAAAGAAATTATTTTTAATGTTGTTTTTAAATGATGTTTGACAACAAAATTTAGGAAATTCCACAGCATACAATCACAGAAATCTAGATCACATTATATGAATTTTATTAAAGCTGAAGCCAGATACTATTTAGTCAGTTTTTTTTCTAAGTTTTGTGCGATTTAAATGTTTCTTATGTGAGAACGAAAACAATCAAGGGATATCAATAATCACCTCCCTGTACAGAATGGGTTAACATGTGGGTCAAAAATTATCTTTGATAATGATACTCCTAGAAGTGAGAGATTCTTCCTCTTACCTCTGTTTTACTGATTATACTATGATATAACTGTTTTTCTTACATTTATCAAGCTGAAGCAGTAACTATATATATATATATACCACATATTCAATCTATTTTGCTAATGAAAATAAGTGTTCTACTTAAGTGTGAAGGCCTTAACTGACTAATCAATATATGTTAATTGTAGTTTTTAACCAAATTATTGTTTCTGATTTCATGTTTAAATACATACTCAATGTAAAGAATTTGATGTTTATCAATTGATTTTTTTTAGCCCCCAGTTTTTTGTAACTTTCTGGTCACTTGCAATGTATGACCTGTTTGTTCCTACTCCAAGCTATGAACGTGAAATTTCCAAGTTGAAGAACCAAATAAGTCAAGCAGAGGATAACAAGGACTTGGTGAGAGACTAAGTATAATAATGTTTACTGTTACTTGATATTATAATAAAGCAGTCAGGTTAAGAATAAAAACAGTTAGTGAGGGACAACATAAAAATATGATATAAAAGAATAGGTTAAAATACATCTACATTTCAGTAGTGCTAACCCAGCATTATTAGACAAAATTACTACATTAACAAGATGAATACATATATCAACCATCAAAAAAGAGACCACAATAACTGAAATTTCTAGCTGACAAATTCTTTCTCAGGTACAAAACCCACAACTTTTGTCTGTTTGTACGTGTGTGTATATTTAAATATATATATAGAGAGAGAGAGAGAGAATTAAATAGGTGTTACTGTTAAAATGTTAAAAAAATGTGAAGTGTGATATCACAATGTGTATCCATAGGAGACTTAAGTTTTTGATTAAGGGGTCTTCTTTGGTTATCTGTTTTGTTTTTTGCTGGTGCATGATGAACGGTATGAGTAGTATTTGTAATTATATACTTTGTAATGTTGGGATGTTCTAAAACATGCAAATGATGCTAAAGATTATCTTTTAATCAAATTTCTACACTTCCAGTTTGTTCTTTGTAAAAAATGGAACAGTCTTTAAGTTCATTCTATATTGTGCCATTTTGGATATTTGTAGTAAAGTTAAGATGGAAGGAAGTTATTTTACTTGGTTTGAAAGTGAACCTGATAAGTTAATTTATATATTTTTTAAATGTTAAGTCAAGCTCATTTTACATCTAAAGGAATGTAGTGTACTACAATAAATAATTTCATTGGGGTAATTTTTACATGCTAATTTAGGATGTAAAAATTGTATAATAGTTTGGTCTACTAAAGTCTGTGTATAAGAGTTGTCACTGATAAAGCAAGTGTGTAGAGTACTACAATAACTAATTTCATTGGGGTAATTTTTACATGCTAATTTAGGATGTAAAAATTGTATAATAGTTTGGTCTACTAAAGTCTGTGTATAAGAGACTTGTCACTGATAAAGCAAGTGTGTAGAGTTTCCTTTTTTCAATTTTCACTTATGCAAATGCAGTTAGCATTGCATAACATGGTCTTTAAAATAAAAATTGTTTGTGAGGGATCATGAAAGAGATGTTGGTGGATTCATGGTAATTCAAAATGATGAATATATTGCTTTTTATTTTTTGAATATTGGTAAATTTCACCAAAAGATGGATTCTATTAACTTGGTTAAAAATTAATTGGCTTCCACTTCATTATTATGGCCTATAAGTGTGGCCAGGAAATGTGATGCTTTGAAAGTTAATTTTAAAGCAATGGTTTTAATTCCTGTTTTGAATAAATTAGTTAGTGCAACTGAAATTGAATGTCCATTTCTGATCCTAATATTTACCGATAAATTATGTTGTTGAATTTGAAATTATGTACATAGATGAACAGGTCATACAGATCTTTGCTTGATATATTAGGTTAAAGTTGTGTATGTATCACTGGTGATATATTTATGAGCTAATTTTAAAACTTATTTAACATGAACTTGCTTGTGTAAAGAAACAATATGACATAAATAACCTAATATTACAATTGGGTAATCTAAATTTTTTTTACACGTGTAAGTGAATTAGTGATGTATAATATTATACACTATATTAATTCAGCTTGTAACTTTATATGTATATACTTATGTCCAGCTAACTTCTACCACACTTCTGGAGAACAGAAACAAATTTTGGAAGAAAGATTTGAGATAGCATAGCCTTCTTTTGCTGAAATTCCTCCCTGGAAAGTCAACCAGGCAAGATTGGGGTCTAAGAATATTGATTTTGTGTATAACTTTGTCCAGCCCCCCCCCCCCAACACACACACACACACTATTGTACT